GTGTCAACTGTGACACAGATATCAGATTGCAATATCTAAAACCGCTTTGAAGGAATAAGTGGCAGAGAGTCCTTGATCCTTTCTATTCGGCAGCTCGTGCACGGCATTTAAAGCGATGAACAGGAATGTCATTAGTGTAAGTTCCTATATGTACAGGAACTTGCATCCGATTCGTGTCTGTATATAGACAAAGGTGTAAATTACATAACGATTCATCAAAAAGAGGGAACCGGTCCTTTACTTTCGCTTCTCTCATCAGTTTTCAACGAAATCGAATGAATTCGCCATTTTCGATTCGATTCATGTAGTATAATTGCTCTGATAATCCTTGAGTCATTAAACGTAGTAAGATGGGAAAACGATTCCAGAAATATGAACATTTACACGAAAAAAAAAAATCATTTGCACTTTTAGCAAAAGACGGTATTGCTGATAAAGTTTTGCTCTTACTGCAGGAATAATAGCATCTAGCTAAATGTTTGAAATAATATCGAACGTAGATGTAATCGTTGGAGAACTTTCTTTAGAAAAAATATTTGCTAACTAGCAAACAAATTTGTAGTAACAGCTAAAACAATATTGTCACTAGTCGGACGATTGAGCGTTATAGAATTTGTTGTTTTTACAATATTGTAACCATGAATAGAATGTCTGTTGTTTCTGTGAAGTAATTGGTGTTTTGTTGTCAATATAATAAAAATGTCTCTAGAGAAAATTCTGCTATTCTCGAAATATGAACATGTTCACGGAAAAAAAAAGACAAACATCATTTGCACTTTTAGCAAAAGACGGTATTGCTGATAAAGTTTTGCTCTTACTGCAGGAATAATACCATCAATAGCTAAATGTTTGAAATAATATCGAACGTAGATGTAATCATTGGAGAACTTTCTTTAGACAAATTATTTGCTAAGTTAGCAAACGAATTTGTAGTAACAGCTAAAACAATATTGTCACTAGTCGGACGATTGAACGTTATAGAATTTGTTGTTGTTACAATATTGTAACTCATGAATAGAATGTCTGTTGCTTCTGTCAAGTAATTGATATTTTGTTGTCAATATAATAAAAATATCTCTAGAGAAAATTCTGCTATTCCATTTTCAAGTATTCACATTTGTTGAAGCAAGTAATGAATTTTATTATACACATTCCTATAAATAATTTGTTTTTAGCTAACATCAAGTGTAATGATTTTAATTGCTAGTAAATTCGTTAAGAAGGGGTTGAATAAATAGACTCTGGTAGGTACAGGAATACTGCCGATATCTGTTACCTGACAATACTATTATGTATTTTTAATACAATGGCAAAAAACTCTCCAAATTGAAATATGAATTAATGTATGCTATTTTAATTTATTCCGCGGAAGAAAAATTAATACAGATTGCGGAAGCGGTGAAGAGAAATCTTTCCTAATTTTTAACATATCCTGGTTTCGTGTAGAATTATCCTAAATAGTGGAGGGTAGTGGCACAATTTTGAGAAACTGACTTTCGCGAAATCACGTCAGCCTCTACTACCTGGTGAATTACGTAATTGCGGTTTGATTTATGGAGGAATATTCAGGTTAATTACGACTTAAATCTGTTCCGTAGGCAAATTGTAGAAGCTACTAGTACGCCTGAGGTTTCGAACCCAAAATGAAATGGTTTATTACTTAATTACCATAATTTCGACAGCCTGACACCTTTGTACTTGTTTCCAAAGTTCCCGATGCATTCAATGACTTCATGTTCCAGGATGAAAAGAAAGTCATCCTTCGCCTGTTTTAGCATCCTGTCGAAATTCGTTCAAAGGTAAGTGGCCACAGGCAGTAGTTTCACCGGGTGTAAAATGTTATACCATATATTAAAAATGGTGATGATTTTGATAGCTAAGAGTAATTATATTTACATCTAAAATGTTTTTCTATTTAATGATTTTAGGCTGGTTCTTAATCATTACCCTAGATTATTGTACATAAAAGACGAATGGTATTTCAAGTATCCGTCTCAACAAAAAAGGGAATGCAATAAATGAAAAAATTAAGAAATAGTCGTATAAAAATAACAACACTGAAATTAACCTACATTAATTAAGCGTGCAAACTTAGGGAGTAAACTTGATAATATTGCAAAATATGAAATACAACAACGCAAATGATTACTGGTGGTACTTTATGTATCGAATATTCATCATTGGTATTTTCATTTAATATTTTTTCAATCCAAGAAAAGTATTTTCGTCGGTGATACAAAGTTTCCTTTACACTTACGCAATTTAGTGGCATTGAATTATCACGTAAAACGATAACTTACGAGTACTCTGCAGAAATCGGCATTAGCGATATTTTCAATAATATTATTCACTCAGATTAATCGAGCAATGAAATAATTTTTCATTTTAATTACTGTCCAATCGTGTAATCGAAAAATTTTGAATCGTGATTACTCGGTTACTTCAGTAATTTATTATCCTTAATAAAATATTACTTTTTTGCCGATTCCTGGTACTCTGGGTACAAGCAGGTACACATTGTACAATACAATAAAAGGTACATTCTCTATGTCGTTTGCATTGTATACACAAAAGAAAATACCTTCAAACAAATCCGTGTTTGTATGCTTCAATTGGAATAAACATTCCGATATTTTAATTTTTTGACTGATTTATTATTTTCCTATTTACTAAAAATATTTTATTTTTTTGAATCTCGGAGTGAATAGTTCCTTCCTTTTCATCGCTCAAGATTGTTGCTTTAAGTATTTAAAGATAAAATTTTCACACTGCATGCAGTGACAATGCAATATTAAAGTGATAATAGAAATATTTTCGATCAATTAAATAGAAATGATTAAAGTCGCGTCTTCTAGAATATGAAAAGAATTTCGCAACCACGTATTTCATTTTGGGATAAGCGCTCTCTTGACAGGAAAAGCCGCAATAGGCGTTCTTCTATTAGCGCTTTATCTGTAATTAAATACTTACGAAATTCACCTTGTGGATAGATCAAAATAATAGGCGCAACGCTACACAAACTGCTAGAATACTCGCATTTTATCCAGTCTGCGAATTCCAAAATGAAGCTAACGAAATTCGAATCACGGCCAAGCAGGGTCCTAGAATTGAACATGTCGGTTGGTTGTAAAACACTATGACAAAATAATTCCACGGAAAAAAATAGTTTTCGGCTACTAAAGTAAAACTACTCCCGTGTATATTACGTGAAAAATAAAGTACTAGATTCTTTTTCAAATATTTAAATTTTTTAAATTTTTGCCGAGGCGCTGCAATACTTCGTCAATGATTTAATATAAATATCCTGTATATATATATATATATATATGAATACTAACGTGTTCAGGAAGAACTTCGGTTAAAAAGAACTGTTTTTCTCTGGTAGAATCGTTGTAACACTGATGGCAGAACCGGATTCGGCAAAAAAAATATCTAATTTTTATTACACTGCAATTTTGATAAAAGTATAACAATAAAAATATGATATAAATTGGGTACCGAAATTAGATTGTGCAAAAAAGTCATCTTGAAAGAAAGCGATGAACAAATTTACGCTTGGATGAAAAAAGGGACTAAGCAAGGAACTAAGCACATATTTACCACGACGTACTACACAATAATCGATATAGGGCCTCATATGTGTAAATTTTCTCCACTTTAATAGGCAGGGTGGTCAAATAATTGAAATAATATTTTTACCAATCGCCAATAAAACGATTTCAAAACATTTATTTTTCGCGGAATGGCAAAAATTGCAAGGTCGTATCATAAAATAGCAAAAAAGTGAAATTTCCAAGTTAATGAGAACTATTAGATATTACAGATTATTTTTCATTCTCTTACGAAAAATGCCCTTACGAGTTCTGTACTGGTTATTTTGGACATGAAAATAATAATATTGAACAGCGATTTTAATGTCAACTTCACCAAGCTAGAAGCACATTCGCCGATTTACTCATTAGACAGCAAATTGAAATGAAATAAGACTAACAAAAACGTGTACACAAATTCTATCAACATTAAAATACGAAAATAAATGTAAATAATAATTTTCTCTCCGAAGCGGGTCTCTTTTGTAAACCGCGAACTTACAACTATTACCGTTCCTTACGAAATCCCGCTTAAAAAACAATAGGACTTTTGGATTAAGTCTAGGTTTTCCGATCATGAATTCTATTTCGTAACATCTTCAATGTAACGTGTTAGAACTGCAGTAACTTAAAAATATTTCGTTAGAAAACTAAACCCTAGGAGGAAGCTTTTATTAAGGGGTTATACCACTTTGAAATTTTCAAGAAATAAAAAAAAATGTTACGCGTTTTTCTTAAAACTGCATTTTAAAAATCGGTGGGCACTCTAGCTCCGCCAATTTTCAATCAATCGTCTTGAGTCTTTTTTATTTTATTCACGATAAGTTTATCTAGCGAAATACGTATGGTTTTTTCAATGTATTGATATTCGCGTTTTTAATGCAACATTAATTAACGAAATTTAGGGCAAAATACGTATCTTTCCTTGCAAATCGATGCCATTTTGTGAAAAGTGAATATTCTTGAGAACGGCTACGTATTTCGCTAGCTTTTGGGCTACAGAAAGTAATTCTTTTTCGTTCATTGATTTAACTTAAACCTGGACTGAGTTATCGTGCCCACCGCACGATCATCGATTTTCGCAGCGCTCCGGTAAATCGCCTTTCAAGCCGCCATTATTGTAAATAAAAAAAATACAAAAAAAAGTATTTTGTTGTTTAACAGTAGTATAACACCTTACTGTACTTTAATTTGGGTAAAAACGTTTTAATTCTTAAGAAAAAAATTCTTGAAAAACCGTAATTTTTCGGTGGGTCAAAGTGGTGTAACCCCTTAAGCAAACATTTAAGAAGGCATCTGACATATGTGCCCATAATTATGAAAGTGGTCTAAGTCATATATTTTTTGTTTGGAAATTACATTGAATTAATTTCGTTTGAAATAATGTGGCGTGAAATAACTGATAAACTCATTTTTTTTTCAATTTTGACTTAGACCACTTTCATAATTATGGGCACAATTATCGCATTATTAAAAATAGGACTTTGGTAACGCGCCCGCAAATTTCCCCCGCGTCGACAGACCACGTGGCGTAACAGTCGGCAGAAAAAATGTAGACCAATCGTCATCTGGGATAAGATGATTTTGAAATACTCGTTTCCGTGGGATGGCAAACAATTTCCTTGGGGCGGTCTCTCTTAGGGGTACCAATCACGACGCGAGGCCCCTCGTGGTTCCGAGTCCTCGGTTGCTCGTAGCCGCGGTCTTAATCGAGATTTTACCCCACCTAAGAAGAGGTCTCGAATCTCGATTCTCGATTCTCGATTCTCGATTCTTGAGAGGCACACATGCCCACGCCGGCACGCTCGCCGCCGTCGTAAGACTTCGAGACCTCCTCCTCGAACCTCAAACGGGCTTTGCACGCCGCCGGGAACACATCTCTCTTTCTCCCTCCTTCACGCATTCACATCGCTGCAGTAAGTCTCTCACACACGCTTCTTCCATGCTACATTACTTTCCTAAAAACTAATCCCAGAGTCAAACACTAGACGACATTCCCCGTGAAACGGAAAGAAAAGATTCAACCTCTTGGCGTTATTTGCAATCTTCCAAACCGATAGTGCGGATCTTCTGACGTTTGACAGGTGACTAGGGAACTCACTTTTAGATATACCTAGGTACTGTAATAACAACGGGGAGTGGACGGAAATGTTAGCCTTATGGGAAAACAATGTGAACCTCATCTCGCGTAATTGGTGCGGACCTCTTGTGCAATTTTTGCCGTTCGGTTACACCCCTCGAGAACGTTACACGTTTCTTGCCGAAGGAATTAAACGCGTTTTCAATTCTTGGGGGGATTTAACTCCCGCCTTTGTGCCATTAGTCCCTCGAATTAGCGACTTTTTGTTATAGTTCTGCGCACCTAGGTGTGGGAAATAGCTTAACGTTGCAGCGGATTTCCCAATGGGACGTGGACTTTGAACATGTAATGTTGCCCGTAAGGCAAAATGAACAAGTACTGTTAATATATACCTTCGATGGCAAGGGGAGATGAGGATTTTAACGTTCCATGTTTATGACCTCGTTTGCTTGTAATTAATGTATACAAATTTTGAAACGTCTGACGGTGAGTAGAGTTTGTACGCGAATCAAGCTTAACTTCTGTTGTGTACGTAGAAACGCCTTCATATTTTTTATTTCTCATTTTTTCAATTAATATCAACGGTCATCGCACATCCTTTCACTTGGTCCGTCGCTACCAAGGTTCACTCTCGTTTGTAAATTCGCCATTGCGTAACCGTAATTAATTCCTGTCGAGGTTTTTCTGCATTTCAGCGTGGACAGGCTGAATTTGAGAATCGAAAGGTGGAAGAGAGAGAAGTAGAAAGCAACATGAGGATTTCCTACGCCTTGTGCGGCCTCCTATTGGCTGTCAGCTTCGTCGCCTCCAGTCCGATTATTAAAAGAGAAGTCGAAGAAGACATCAGTCCTTTGAACGAAGTGAGTTATTTCTTATCATCTCCTTAACAACTCCATATAGTATAAGATTGTAGAAATATTTTAGAAACACTGAATACCGTGGAGCATTTAAGGTGAAGTGAAACCCCCTTCAAATCAGTCGATTCCAATACAACACTTTTTTTTTAAGGGTATTAGACCAAACTGTCCGAAACTTTGACGCATCACTCCTGATCATCTAAGAATTGTCCTGACACATTCAAAATATGGATTTTTAAACAAAATTTTTTAACTCAGCTCAAACGAGAACCAAAATGGCGTCGAGCTCTCATATTTCGATCAATATACAATTATCGAGGGCTCTGATATGAGAATAGAAAGGGTCAGGACAATTTTACGACAATTTAGAACATTTTGGTAATCGATAAATTCGCATGTGAACGGGATAAAGGGAAAAAAAGTGTTGTATGCGCTTCTATGCTAAAAGGATGGTAATACGAGGTCTAGGAGTGAACATTTAATTGACCTGGAAATCACAGATGGCGCAGGGGGTCCCTCTACAGTTAATTAGGGCACCAGAAAACATGAATTCAGAGGATTTCTGGAATTTTACTTCGATATCTTTATAATTATTGTACGAAAACGACAGGTGGAGTATGCCATTTGGTACAATATCCAATATAATTCGACCCAGTTGTCAATATAAAAACCAACGTCAGCAACGTAGGCATTTAGAAAAACCTTCTTTATCGACGTCGATCAAGTTCCTCGACGTGTTTCACTTCACCTTAATTTTCTCAACTTCTTTAATTGATTTCAGTCGGTAGTCAGAACTTAGACAATGATTCAAATTAATTTCAACGATGTAATATATCTCTGCAATGCGATATGTCTGCTGGTACTAATTAACTAGTCACATCGTTATGTCAACGTTACAAGAATTTAGAAAGAAGAATCATATGCATTAAGAAAATCCTTTATTAATTAATTGAATAATTTCCGTCGGTCGGCATGCACGCGATACGTGGTAAAATAAATTCTTGCATTTCGCCTAAAGAAACACGTGCTTTTTACAGTATGATTATTTCAAATAATCTCTATAAAGAACACTCCGAAATTCTAACCACCTGGATATTTTTGAAATGATGACTCTTTTTATTAAGGAATGTGTTAAAACTTGATACGCCTTATCTGAAACATTAACATTATGAATAGGTAACATGAAAGTGCATAAATACATTTGCGAACAGTTTTCGTTCTGTACATTAAGTTTTGCATGTAAATGTTAATAGCGCATGCACGTGGTGGTTATATATACTGCCTGGAAGACTTCTTAATATGAGTTATGTCATACGGTGTAGAGTTCATAAAATGAAATACGATGTTTCACGTTGTTAATGAGAGATCCGATTGGAATAAATTAATTAAACCACATGTACATAGATAGGTAATTTGATCATTTTCTAAGTTTGTTCACCGGCAACATGATATACTTTTCTTATTGTGGAACAATGATTTCCTTATCGATGTCATCTTTGTAAAGGTAAAAGTCATATGTGCCAAGTTCAAGTGTACGAATGGAAAGTGAGCGTAAAAAGGAAGTACCATGGCCACCATTTTCTCAATTCAAGTGTAGAACACTTGAACGCTCTTCCTGCCTTTATTCGTTGACTTAGGACTTTCCATTGCTAAATCGAGACCATCACCGATTCTTCATTAACTACCGAAAGTTTCCCAGAATTAATTAGAAATTTTATTCTCTTCCAAGTAAACCTCATCTTTTTTAATAATTATCATATCATCAGTAGCTTATCATTATATACTTCTTTAATAGATCAATGTATAGATCAAGGGAATTATTGTCGAAAATTCTCTCTTCAACTATAAACAAAGAATGTACAAAATTTCGTTGATTAACATTAAAACACAAGCAACGTGATAATTCCGTATAAAAACATAAAACAATACGTGCAACGAAAGAGGGGAGGGGGGTGGGGTAAACACTAGTTCACGTTAAACTTTATTTGCATTTTGCACATGTCAGATGCGAAGTCAACTGCGGTAATTTTAATGCGGTAATTTTTCACTCGAGCATCAGCATTTATTGGTAAAGACATGTATATATAACTAAACTAGTTATGACTTTCGATATAATATATTGCATAGGCTGGATTACGTTTCGATTTCAATACGTTCATACCGTGTTATAATGAAAGGAGAAAAAGAACAATTGGGTAAACGTTGGAGTAAAGATCGAGACGCATTGCGATTCTAGGAATCATACTTACTGTGAAAGTACGCTCTCGAGTAATGCTCTACCTCGATACCTATTAAAGGCAAAATATCAATGCAGATAAAAACAAAACATTTACAACGGAGAGAGAGGAGGTTTATTCTTTGCTCATGATACGATTCATGCGGCACAATATATGCGATATAACGAACCAGTACTATCAATACATAATTGTATTCATTTTTAGGACTTTTTTTCTAATGTTAGAACATTATCGTTTATGTATGAACCAGCGGATAATTCCATATGAAACAGATTAAACTTTTACTTGAGGCCTTTATTCTACTACATAATTATTACATGTCCCTGAGGCAATATTTATGACGTGTAATTAAAGGAAATAGTCATTGTAAAAATAATTGGAATATTTTCTTCTTAAGGTATTCCTCATGAAAGTTGTTTGAAAAGGCCATATACTTTCCAAAATACAAGTGCTAAAAATTAAACCAATAACCTAACGTTATTACTGTCCTACAAGAAACGCCAAAGAAAAGCTAAAAATAAGTATACGTTAAAAAACTGTGAAACAATGGACCTTGACACTAGTCACCGCAAATCAATCCGTTTTGTCGTTAATACCCACGGGGAGGTGCACTTGAATTCCTATTCTTTCCACCGCAGCCATTACGTGACTGATCAGCCTTGCCATTGAGCATTCTGACCAAACAATTAGTCCACTAAGATTTAAAAAACATTTCCCTCTAATTCTCCCCGCAAGAATTACTTTTATGAAAAAAGGAAGCAAGGTTATCCTCCAACAGTCAGGCATTAAAGTCACTTCGGTGAAGTTTTCGGATGTACAAACGCTCTTGATGCTTCTAGACGCCGTGTTGTAAGACAGTCCAGTTTTTTTTTTTTAAATTCTTAACTCGCACGTAGAGAAACGTGGGGAAAGACATTGATTCCCATCGAGCAGAGGCGGGAAAAATAAGAAAAGAAATTAAGACGAAACGTGTCTCTAAGAGGCGACGCGAGAGTGAAAGTAGTCGAGCAATGGTCAGCTCCGTTCACGTACTACGTGCCCCTACGTACATACATGCTACGTACATGTAAGTAGTACGCGTTTACGTATTGACATTTTTGACGCGACGTTCGTGCTAGAAGCTGATTGCCACTAACGGAAATGCCTAACTGACTGCATTTCGTAAAACGATTGACCGAAAAAAAGAAACTTAATGTGGTATGAAAAGGTCATTCTATACACATGACACGTGAAAATATTAATAAAATTTTTCTCCAAGCTGGATGTACCAAATCATTTGAAACTTTACCAAGTGATTAGGAAGGCCCTAAGGAAGAACGTGATGCTCGTGAAATTCCACTTTTCAACAGAATTTTTTTATTATTATTGACGTATTGACATTTTTTACGCGACGTTCGTGCTAGAAGCTGATTACCACTAACGGAAATGCCTAACTGACTGCATTTCGTAAAACGATTGACTGAAAAAAGGAAACATAATGTGGTATGAAAGGGTCATTCTATACATATGAAACGGGAAAATGTTAATAAAATTTTTCTCCAAGCTGGATGTACCAAATCATTTGAAATTTCAGCAAGTGATTAGGAAGGCCCTAAGGAAGAACGTGATGCTCGTGAAATTTCATTTTTCAGCAGAATTTTTTTATTTAGCCTAGACTAGAACCAAGATGACTTTTTTTTGTGAAAAATCAAATGTCATGCGTTTTTCATTAGGGCCTCCATAATCTCGTGGTAATGTTTCAAATGATTTGATCCACCCAGTTTGGAGAAAAGTTTTATAAATGTTTTCACGTTTTATCTATCTTGTACCACTCGACGCTATAAGTTTCTTAATAAAGAATGACCCTTTTATTTCACGTTAAATTTTCATGAGAAAAAGTGATATTACAGAGGCCCTATAAAGAATGCTATGACACGTAATTGTTTATTTCGTCATTTCATGTAATTCTTGCAATACTTTAACTGGAATACCTTCAATGTGAAGTTTCTACAAATGGTCTCCGAAATACTTAATGATTAAGGTTCATCATTGGGTCACGTGTTTAACAATGATTCCGGACAGACTTAAAGGGACTGGATTTTCGTAGTAAAGAATAAGTTACAGGCTTATTTAAATTAGATATAAAAATAAAAAAACAAGTGGGTACCTTGAATTTGTATATTTGAATTAAACGTTACATATTCGATAGATTTTAACATTCAAAACATATCGGACTAGGTTTTAAGATCATTTTAAAGTCTTTAGGAATGCCATTACATTAACGTTAATTAGAAGAGCTTCTCTAATAATTTCTTATTATAAAGTATAGATCAAAGTATCTTTAAAGAGAAAAGAGAAGATATTTGTTTTACCCGCATTATACAACACAACATGATGTTTAAATATGCATTTAAAATATTAGAGAATTGAAGCATTGTATTTATTTAATACTGGCAACTTTAGGTATATATAGCTATTACGTGATATTACAATTTTATTATATATTCACCGTGTAACAGAAATGGAATATAGCCGAGTGCAAAAGTCTTTCGTAAACAAGCAGGTTGAAGATGTCACAGAACTAATGTCCCTAACCTCGGGTTAACTAATCTCTTATGCAATAATTGTATGGTGTAATGTCCAAGATGGTTTTCAGGGAACTTTTGCTTTTACATTGCATAGTAGCTTCGTAAGTCTTGACTTACTGTAACATCTCACGAATTTACAAGTTATTATTAAACTTTCATACTTAACATGGACATTTAGCTTAAAATGCATTAATATTGAATGTTGTAATTTTTTTTAACCCCTTATCTCATGCGAGGCAGATTGGGTAGAAAGTTTCAATCATCGAATTACGATAATTTCTTAGGAAATATCGTGGCAAGATTAATTTTATTACATTATGTGTATTTGCCAGCAAGTGAATGCACTTGATAATAAAATAACGTAAATGTTAGAAATATAAATATTTGAGGTGATGCGATAGTTAATTGTATCTTTAATGTGTTTTTCTTGGCCAGTTTTAATTGATATCACCGTTTAAATGTCCATGAATTATTTTTCTCGCGTAATAAGGTCAATTCGAGATTCGAATGGAAAGCATGAACCACTTGCACATTTCGTAATGCAGCTTGAAGCATTCTAATTCGAATATATGAAAGTATTAAGCGCGTAAAGAAGGAATCCTTGAAGAGCAGTTTTTACAATATTATAACAAATCATCATCCGATTATACATTACAAATCTTTCTACATGTAATACATAAAATAGAATTAAATGTATAGGTTCCCAAATCGACTGAACACCTGTGAATAATATTACTTAATATTCGGACGGTGACAATCACTTCATGAATTTTTCATTGTAATATGTTACACTAATATAATTACAACATTCTGTCTTATGTACGGGTGTAATTTTTGTTATCGAAAGTTTCACCTGACACAAGTAATTTTGATTTACATACACCAGACTAATACAGATTGAGATAGATAAGAAGGAATCCTTGAACAGCAGTTCTTACAATATTATAACAAATCATCATTCGATTATACATTACAAATCTTTCTACATGTAATACATAAAATAGAATTAAGTGTATAGGTCTCCAAATCGACTGAACACCTGTGAATAATATTACTTAATATTCGGACGGTGACAATTACTGAATTTTCCACTGTAATATATGACACTAATATAATTATAAAATTCTGTCTTATGTACGGGTGTAATTTTTGTTATCGAAAGTTTCACCTGACACAAGTAATTTTGATTTACATACACCAGACTAATACCGATTGAGATATCGGAGCAAAGAGACAGACAAATTTACGTGAAAGCCGAAGTCAAGTTTATTGTTAGTTTTCCCCTTAGTCGGTATAATGGGACAATTTTGAGGTTATGTCCGCACGTTCCAGGTAGTCAGGGACGGCAGCGTAATTGTTCCGAATTGTCATCGGGACGCAATTTAACTTCGAAATTACGTGCATTCTTCGCGGAACGGAAAAGGGGGCTGGCTAACAATTCTTTTTGCGTTTCCTTGAATCTCGTAATGAGGAAATTAGGTGTATGTGTTCCAGGCCGACGAGGAGCCAGCCGATGAGGAAAGGACCGACCGGGACAAGAGGAAAATCGGTATCGTCAAGCTCGGGGTAACGAACGGGATCATCAACTTCGTATTTGGGGTAAAATGAGCAAATAGATCATAGTTAATGTCTAGGGGATCTGGTTACTCGGAGATAATTTTCCATGCGCATAATATTGCGGTCTCAAGTGCGCCTTGGTACGATAGCATGTGGCGTAAAGGGGGCAACTTTCTATGATAATTTATTAACCATGGCTCGCTATGAAGATACTGTTCTAGAGTACTACCAAAGATCAAATAACCTGTTATAAGCGAGATGGTCATAGCTGCTTAATGTATTATTCAAAATATACACGGTATACTGTTGTAACAATATATGGTGTGGAACAAATTTTGTTTGTAAAGTGTTCGAAACAGTGCATAGTTATTTAAAATTATTTAAAGTGCTTCTTAGTCACGTTTTGGACATTTACTTTAATAATTGCCACGTGGTTGCCAGGTAATCAAATCGCTTAGTAAAATTCTTGATGTATCTTTTTAGATAAAGAAGGATATAACCTACTGGATATAACTTCTAATTGTGATCTAGATTGCATATGTTTACCCGACTGTAATAACTTTTTCATTAACTGAAAATTGGTAGAATGATACAGGAAGTTTGTGCGAGGTGAAATCTTTATGAATACGAGTAATAATAAAGTAACATCAATGTAGCATTGATACGATAAACTTTCACGTGGTTCAGTGACGGTAAAGTGTGTGATATTTTTTTTTTTATTTACTAACGATACAATATTTTAAAGCATAAACAATTTGAGATGGAGATATATCTTATTACATTTGTGATTTTTTTTTATTTCAGTTTCATTTATTTTCACAACGTGACATTAAACATGAGTTGCTTATCAACTGATGATTGGTATAAAAAGAATCGCAGTAACGAAATAGCATTTGTTTATAAAAATATTTTATTGAATTACTGTAGTCATTCGGTCTCTCTTACCGATATGCAATATCGGGTACGTTGTGTTTACATCATTTGTGATAAATCTGTTTCTATTACATTTCGCGTGACACTTCTTGCGTACCATTTCTTATCTATTATTATATCTTGTTAATGTAAAATTCTAATTGAAGAATTTCTTTGTAGAAATTGGACGCTTTCTTAGATGCGAAGACCAGAGCTCTGGTCGTGCTCGATGAATCCAACAAAGCGAAAAACGCAGCATTTGGAATCGATTCTAGTCAATCGGCGACCAGCCAATTTATCAGTAATCTAATTTCCCAAAAAATTCAAGCTGGGACAGCTAGCATTGGGCCACTGATTAATGGAGCTACGACCTTCATATCTGGAGCATCGAGTGGACTTGCAGGAGCTTTCGCATCGAAATTCGCCCCATTGAGTGCCCTTTCCGGAGGAGCCTCTGCAGGTTTGTTAACTTGTTACAAACTTAAAAAGAGAATAGTTTATATATAAAAATATAACATAACACCCAATAAGTGTNGATCGGTGAGCTCAATGCCCGCAGTGGGTATGTCATGTATATTACACTTCCGATGTGTGGCAACGAATTGAATTTTCCGTTTCTAATCAACCGTCGATTCGTAATTAAAGATTTGATTCGGTCATTATCTCGCAAAGAAAAAATCAATGTAAAGGCTGAAAGATCTCTATATGTTTTATATGGAGCATTGTTTCTATTAAACGAGTGGACATAGGAGGCGCCTCTGCAGGTTTGTTAACTCGTTACAAACTTAAAAAGAGAATAGTTTATATATAAAAATATAATATAACACACAATAAGTGTATATTATAATATGCAATAAGTTTATGAAGGAAATGATTAATTTCAACACAGTTAAATTTGCCATTAAATAATATATACAATTATTTGAAATATTGGAACAAGATAACAACTGCATTATGTAAGATGCAGAAACCTAGTACTTTAACATTCCACGTGAAAGCTTCCAGAAATATCACAATGATAACGATATCCTACCGGTCAGATTAAGAATCCAACATCAGGCACATTAGATGATAAGCAAATTGACGAATAAGTCATTTTTCTGTCAACTAATGTAATCTTTCTCCATCAAACTTAACACGATGCAGGAATTTTCATGCATTGTTTCGTTTCATGGAACAATAATCGACTTGAACGAAAAACTGTGATCGGACCTAACTTAGGTTACTCTACCTACATATCAGAACTTTCACCATAATACGATATAAAATCAGATGGCGATCTCATAACTACACTACCCTGTCATTTTCTTCGCCATCCCATGATCTATAAAAAAACGCGATGGATAAGAATCAACCCAGACAATGACACAATGATGCGCTAAAATTACGAGAAAAATCGTCTGCCGTTCTTGAAACATCATACATTGATGGGAAATAAAAAAGAAATTGTTTATTTAATTCAGGTGGAACCGGCGGAAGTCCTGTAGGCGTCTTGGGTGGACTTTTGGCTTCGAAGCTCGGACCTTTGTCGAGCTTGAGTTCCAGTTCTGGAACCGGAGGTTTGCCAGGATCCAGTTCCGGAGATTCGAGTTCCTCCTCTGGAGGAAGTGCACTTGCAGGAGGTGCAGGCACTAGCGGAAATGCAGGCGCAGGTGCAAGTGCAGGCGCGAGCACCGGACTAAATCTGGGAGCATTCGCCAATCTGGGCGGAGCGGTAGGACCATACTGAGTTTTCGATCAATTGGATCCACCGGTCGATCGATCAGCCGATCAAAACGCTTTCGATGGCTTGATGCGCCGCTCGCCATGCCCAGAGGATGCTACATGCATTTCCGTTCCTACGGTTTTATAGTCGAATGTCCCCCTGGCACTTCTCCCACCCTTGGAATGTAAAACACATCTATTTGTTGATAAAACGAGAACATTAGAAAACGGCCGAAAAGAATAATATTGAAATCTAAGATATTTTCTGGCCGAAGTTTGGGTGGTAAGAGGTATTACGTAAAGTAATGTAAGGTTACTTGAGAATGATAAAACAATCCCGGGAGTTGGTTTCGAATATAGTTATTGGTATCTAGTTAGATGAATGAAACGTAAACAAATTTAACCAGTTGAAGCGAAAAATCCGCTTTTTTGGGGAAGTTTATAGACAGGCGTCAACGTGTAATTTTGTTTCTATTTTAGCATTGGTTCTGCATGGATTAATATTTTAAGGAAATTAATTAACAATTGAATATCCTTGGTACATGTCCCGTCCTCGAAATATTTGTACTGGTTGAGAAAATGGAAAGGAAATGTAGATTTGCCATGAAAAGAGAATTGAAATTTTCGTACACCGTTTAGTCGAAGTACAGGGAGAAAAGGTATTATGTAAAGTACTGTAAGGTAAACACACTTCCGGAGGTGATTTTGATTTTAATTAATAACTGGATGAATGAAACGCGACCAGTCGTTGCTAGCTAGTTAAAGGCGCGTAGGTCAGCATTGATCACGTAATCTTGTTCTACTTTAGCATTAATATTGCATGTATTAATATTTTAACTACGTCACAACCGTATGTACCTTTAGATCATAACACCTGGTACCAAACTTGCTCCATAGAGACGAGAGTAAGAGGGTCGATTGTTAAAGTTGCTTTTGCGATGGATGAAAGAAACCTCAACAGAGAGCGAAATAAGATCTGACGGGACGGATTATTATGGCTCGACATTTTTATCAGACGCTTATGCAAAGTAATCGCTCTTCTGATTAAAAGTAAAATGCTTAGAGTATATTCCATTCAGAGGTAAAAAAATCTTATAACGAAACCACCACTGACCAATGGATTCTGCTACAGCTTGGAACGGCATGCAGTCACTTCACGGAAAGCACAGCTGCGAAATTGGACAAATTATAAAAAAAAAAGAAAAAAAGGAACAAGAAAGAGAAACTTTATCTTCTGTTTTTTAGTTTGGCCGATAAAGATGAGGATCGACCACATCCTCCCGCCCTTCATTTTCCCTAGAATAGTGCGAGGTCAACGACTACCCCTTGAAGAGGTGATTAAACTGCCTTGATTAAGAGTGATACGATTCGCTAGGACGGAGCTGTAAATATACTAAGTGAAGACGAATAATTTAGGGTAAGATCGCGCGGGTGATCTTGCGTGGACTCTCTGTATAAATAATGTAAATAGCGGATCCTGTAAACGCTCAGTAGACGTAAAGACGATGATGTGTCAAATAAATCTTGCGAGTGTGTTAAACTACTTCTTCTTGGCGATTTCGTATAAGTTTCCTGTTTATTTCACCCTTCTCTGTAAAAAGTTGAAATTCTCCGTATAAGAAGAAAACGATTTAATCACCTATTTAACAAAAATGTTTGACGTTCTGTGAAGAATATTTAGCCATTTTTAGAAATAATTGCAAATGATTTTCTACAACGTATATAAATCTAATGACAAATACCTCGTTTGATTGTATTGGAAAATCTATAAGACATTTATAGAACGTTTCAAACTGTGTGTCCAAATTCAATTAAATCTAGGGATCTCCATTTTTTCATCTACTTCTTAAAAGAATTTCTCTTGTAAAAATATATTTACCTGAATTCAAATAAACTGAATTAACATTAGTAACATCGGTTGATATTAAATAGGCATCATTATCTTACATATGCTTGAATGTGTGCCCACATCACGGAAATTAAAATTTAATTTACGATATATGCACAATTTTCTAATGTTATGTTGATCTTAATGTGACCAATTTGCATGGCAAAAAGTTATATTTCTGAATTTTGTTATTGAAATTTACATTATACGAATTACGTGTTATAGATAAGTGTACTTATTGAATCGGATTCATTTTGTCAATGTTGCGTGAATTTGTGTTATTCATATGTTAATTCCATGCTGCGAATTTTGTACAATATGCCTATTTTCATTCATTACTACCTGAAGATTGAAGAAAATAAATACTATCTAGTATATCGACATATATTGGAATTTAGATCGCAGTTATCTTGCCATGTCACGGGTCAATCACGATCGGTGAGCTCAATGCCTGCAGTGCGTTTCAGATCGGTGAGCTCAATGCCCGCAGTGGGTATGTCATGTATATTACACTTCCGATGTGTGGCAACGAATTGAATTTTCCGTTTCTAATCAACCGTCGATTCGTAATTAAAGATTTGATTCGGTCATTATCTCGCAAAGAAAAAATCAATGTAAAGGCTGAAAGATCTCTATATGTTTTATATGGAGCATTGTTTCTATTAAACGAGTGGACATAGTACAAGAATTGCCTTAGATGGAAATAGATGCATTTTAGAGTTTCCCCTGAGAAGAAATGGCTAACAGGAAACTTATTTAAGAGAAATAAGTTCTTTTATATGATGAATTACGTATATTGAGCTCCCTTATTCGTATATCTTCTTCAAGGGGTAGTACATCCGTGCGCACTGGTCTCATTGCAATGAAACTCTTGCGCCACCAAAAAAGGATATCGATTTATTATACATCTGTAATTAAATGATCACGTCATATCGACAACTGTTCCATAAGAATTTATGGAATAAGATAAGTTCTTCACAGTTCATGAATAATACCATAGACCATGTATCAATGAAAATGAGTATGATAAGCAGTGTTCTTATAACTTATTAAGATTTGTGAGTAATACAGAAATTATTGTTTCTTTTTCCCAATAGAACTCAATCAGCACAACGACGGAAGACATTCCAGAATTTGATAGAACCAGGGTATCGCTAGACATACCTCCTCCACTTTTTGGAAGTGGATTTACCCTTATTACTGACATCAGCAAAATTGCGAGCAGCCTGATTATGGTAAGGTTGTTATATTATTTATAGTAGACGGTACGAAGATTAATTTGTACCTATTTATTAAATGTAGTCCAGATTAGCTTTTACTCTCGAAAATACAATACTGAAATGAGTTGTTAATCGCATCTTCGAATTTGGCAACAAGAAAATTGCTACATGTTAACTGCATTTTAACGTTTACGGTATAAGATTTTGAAATTATATATTACGAATCGATTCATAAATATCCATCTTTTAATGTAACAAATATACCAGAATTTCCATATACATGAAGACATAGGAAAAAAGAAATAGTACACGTCAATAACTATTTATGGTGTGATTAGTAGGGCAACGTAACTCGTTCTCCTCGATTAGAATGCCATATCTATATTAATCCTAGGTCCTGAACTTGTAAATCACAGTGCAGACTAGTAGACTTTTACAGTGGGAATACAAACGGAATTTCTCAATAATTACTTTGAATTAGAATGGGCACTAATATTGCAAAGAGAGAATATGTCTTAATGTTGAAGAATAATTGAACACTCGATATTTATATGTTTTTTTACTGTTTATATGTTACAGAATTCGGCTCGTCGGACGGAAAGCATATTAGAAACGTTGAAACCATTTTTCCGAGGGGCTTTTGCCATCAAGGGACTACCATCGGACAACAAACGAAATTGAAGATGAAAGAAGATAAAGGAAGAATTAAAGGAGCCGCAAAAGTGTCCGTGGGACCATTCCTCCAAATGTGCATATAGTTGCTATAGTTTTTATATTGAGGGTATTGTCAGTAAGAGTGAAGTAGGATTCAATTCAATTTGTCATTTAATCAAGAGTCGAAAAAATTAGATAATGCTTGATAGCACCTTATACGAACATTTTATTTCAGTTAAATTAATAAATGAATGCTATAAATACTTTTCATAAAAATACCGAGAAACCGTGATCAACGCTGTCTGATAAGAATTGTTACTAGACATTTAGTATTTTTTAAAGGCATGTATAATCAATTTTTAAACCCCTTTCTTTTCGCAAAAATTGATTTACCTAGTATTGTAAATTTACGTGTATATTCCTGCTAACAATTAATCTGTATATGTATGTAAATAACTCGAGTCAACAATGTAGGTAACATTTGCTATACATTTTCTGAATCAAACGTTCAACAATGTTTTATAAGCACGGTATTTTCTTATCTTGATATGGTTACCGAATCATTAGATCAGTTACGATACTATAAACAAATATAGTAACAGCGGTTGATCCACTGTTTATTAATGAAGTATGACAGTTTGCTGATTAACATCCTGTATAGGCAGTTCCATTTCGTTTCACTCTACCTTCTACAATATACTTTCCTAAAGTTATCATTAAATGGTGCTATTCTTGTACAGTACCAATAGTTATATTTTTATATAAAGATTGTAATAGTATCCGCGATATTTCCTTAGACTTGTACAAATACAGATTTTATTATTGACAATTCTGACTTCAGTACACCTCAGGCTCTAGAAAAATACGTGTATGTAAGTTCGTGGATTAATTTAAACACATAATACCTTGTAAGTAATAGGGTATTGGTTTGCTGTCATTTGTTAAATGGGTCTTGACGTTTATTTTTTTAATATCATTACTGTACAAAAATTACATTACATGATAGTTTACGACTAAAATTGAAACGATAGCTCTTAGAACTGATAACATACTAGTTATCCTATCATTAATTCTTCACTTCTTATCATACTACAGAATAATGTCTTATCAGAAACCACAGGAGTAAGAATTTTAAGGTGTTATTAGACAAAATCGCTTTGTTCTGTGTATAAAGTGTAATGATCACGACTTAACAAAGTAAGTGCATCGATGCGAAATATGTAATATCATTTATACCTTACTTTCATGCAGATATAAGATACATTACCTTTCTACATACAAAAGCAAAATTTGATACAGGTTCACTTTATAGCATTCTTAATATAAAATAAAATGCTTTGTAAATACATAATGAAGTAGTAGAATTTTGTGATCATTTATAGTAGTATCGATCCTACCGTCAAGTTGAGTGATTTACTATCGCAAAATACTTTACTATCTTACTTAATGGTGTCACGTTTTCTTCAACTATTCTTGCAGAATGCTGTAAAAAAAATTTTAAATGTCTTGTCATATGTCACTAGACACTGATTGCCTATGAGTGTAACTAAACTCTTCAATGTCGGATGTGTTGAAATTTTCTCGAGAACGTCTCAAGGAAAATCTTGCATTAAGAGTGACACACCATATCCCTAAGAGGCGACAGGTTCACTTTATATCATTCTTAATATAAAATAAAATGCTTTGTAAATACATAATGAAGTAGTAGAATTTTGTGATCATTTATAGTAGTATCGATCCTACCGTCAAGTTGAGTGATTTACTATCGCAAAATACTTTACTATCTTACTTAATGGTGTCACGTTTTCTTCAACTATTCTTGCAGAATGCTGTAAAAAAATTAAAAATGTCTTGTCATATGTCACTAGACACTGATTGCCTATGAGTGTAACTAAACTCTTCAATGTCGGATGTGTTGAAATTTTCTCGAGAACGTCTCAAGGAAAATCTTGCATTAAGAGTGACACACCATATCCCTAAGAGGCGACCAAAGTACTATCGATGGCAACTATAATTTTTCACCTCCTCGGCCTCTGACTCGAAGTTTCTCTGAACTTCGATCTCATTGATGCCTTTCCAGTGAACGAGCCCAAAGGTGACATTTGACCGATGCTATTAGTGCTCTTTGATTGAACACTTTCCTGGTCTCTAGAGGATTCTGAACTAAAGTCAGTAAAAGTGTTTTTTTTTGTTTTTTTTTTGTACAAGTTATAACATCCAGTCGAGACGGAGACAGTGACGACATCTCGCATATGTTATGCTGGAGGAAATCTAGGTGCAAAAATTACTCGGCCTTTGCTCCTGCTGCAAGGACATTAGCTGACGAATTCCCCTTCTTTTAAGGCTGTCGTACAAATGCAATACGGTCGCCTTTGATCATTGATACCGATCGTGAAAGATATAGTGATGCTCAAAAAAATTAATCCTTTCCACGAAGAAAATCAATCATGCTAGATGTAAGGAGAGATGAAGTATATGTTTCAGAAGGACGACGTAAATCATTTGTAGAAGAAATAGGGATGCATTTAATTACATCGAGGTAAGTGTACCTAATGATGACGTTAATAATAATAATTTATTGCAACGTTATATAGGTTGTTATCACATGACCTTCGCAGTTTAAAGCCCACGTATAGCAAGTCTTTTTTGCTTTGTTGGTGAGTGATTATTTNTCAACAATGCACCTAATTACCTTTTCTACGAAATATACATTCGCAAACGGATGCGGTTGTTTCAATATAACTCTACCGTGGGTACGGAAAATTCTTCTGAGGTCTCGAAAGAGAGGTGAACGAAATCGAATGAACGTTTCTCAAATATAGGTTAACTGTTGTTATAGTTTAATTTTTCGGCTTACTTTTGAAATCACAGTTTCTTCAGAAGTCATTAATATTAATAATTTAAAAAAAAATGTTAGATACAAGCCTATGTAACCATAATTTTGAACATCAGTTGGCCCCTGTTCAATGATTTCTTGTAAAACTCAGCTGCAATGAGAGTTGCGTATTTTAAGCGCATTGTCATATTACTATTTAGAGGAAATTCATATTTTTGCAAAGACAAAATGAAATCAAAGGTTCAATTACGTTTTATCGTGTACCTTATCGTTATAGAAAAGTATAATAAAATCTATCATATGAAAAGCATTAATTGTAAGTATTAAAATTGTTGATCTTTGCAGATGTTATAACCTTGAAACAATGCTCATAATTCGTATTAAAATTATAACACCAAGAGGAAAAGGACCATTTCAAAATCCGCGTTCTATATCATTGTTTTTACATCAATTCGTAATGGTTTCTTGAAGGATATTTTTGTAGATATAAATTGGCAGAAAATGTTAGTTGCATTATGTTTGTTGACACTGAAATTAATTAAGTTTTCTACCAATTTGTAATTCTTTCTCTTACTAGTTTGAATAGAAAGTTTCTCAACAAATATCATTGTAGGAAATTATTCGAATTCGCTGGCTCCTAGTTAATGTTTTGTCTGTAGAACGTAACTGCAAGTCGAATTGCATAAATCAGGCGCAAAGGCTTATAAAATATACATTAAATGTAAAATAAAATATTTGTATAACAGTAATAATATCATCGGTGTATATCACGACCAATCCGTTATCTCGATCATACGATTTACCCCGAATTGTGGAATTTGAATTTTCAATCGTCATATTTTGAAAACAACTTAAGTGAAGGAAATATTTCTCTTATTAATTCTTACGTAATCTTACCGCGGCAGAAATGAAATATGAATTTATAGATTAAAAAAGCACTATAAGATAAAAACATAATATCAGTGCATCCGATCTAGAATTCTGAAAGGAAACGAAAATTTCAGAATAAAAATGTTCCGAATAAATATGAATTTATAGATTAAACAATGCACGAAAATTTCAGAATAAAAATGTTCATTAATTGCGCTCCTCGTAATCTTGCTTACGTGACCTTCTCAAAATGTCAACGTATACAGTTTCAACTATTGCATCTACTGAATAAAAATGTTCCGAATAAATATGAATTTATAGATTAAACAATGCACCCTAAGATAAATACATAATATCAGTGCATCTGATCTAGAGTTCTGAAAGAAAACGAAAATTTCAGAATAGAAAATGTTCATTAATCGCGCTCCTCGTAGTCTTGCTTACGTGACCCTCTCAAAATGTCAACTTATACAGTTTCAACTATTGCATCTACTGAATAAAAATGTTCCGAATAAATATGAATTTATAGATTAAACAATCGACCCTAAGATAAATACATAATATCAGTGCATCTGATCTAGAGTTTTGAAAGAAAATGAAAATTTCAGAATAAAAATGTTCATTAATCGCGTTCCTCGTAGTCTTGCTTACGTGACCCTCTCAAAATGTCAACTTATACAGTTTCAACTATTGCATCTACTGAATGCTAATTAAGAAACATTTAGAAGAGCGTTCGTCCGCTCTTGCCGCGAAATGACTCTGAAGTTTCGTGAAAAAATCCGGACGACCTTGCGGAACGTTCCAAGACATGGAGAACCGAGAGTCTCTTTCAGTACCAATCGTGCTGTCTGATAAGTTGGACTTCGCAGTCTGTTCCATCATGGATCGACAGTCGTCTACTCATAGAGTAAAATTTCAATAATCGACTTGAATTTTTATTTTTATACTCGATACCCATAAGACTTACGATTATTGAAAAAGTAATGTTTAAATTAGTATAATCGTTTGAAAATCGAAGGGCCGTTTACGTATTTTCATTGCAGTACCTGTTTATTAATTTTCTTAAGACTATATTGTCGGAGTGAAAAGTGCTTTCGCAAATTTAGAAATCATCGTCAAGGTAAAATTAATTGTACACATATTGTAACTGATGCCAATCTTAAAAGGGCAGATTAGTTCTATCGTTATGTCGGATTTATTTGTACATAAATATACTACAGAATGGATTATAATTATTAGTTCACTGTATAAGAAGAAGCAGACCATTCGACAATTTTTCGCACTTTAATCGTAGAGATGATGTTACTGAATATATTTAACAATAGGTATTACTTGCGTGAAATACATTAATCGTCTTCTCAACATAAAGTATTAGCTAGTCATACTTATTTGTGCGTTTTTCTATATCAGATGTGCAACAGTATTCTTATGCAATATTATCATATTTATTAAAATATGATGACATTTGAATTTGAACATTAGTTCAAACGGTGAAATTTGACTTATCTTCATCTCATTACCCTCTCTTATTTCAAAATTCGTTACCCCTTAAGCTTAGAAAGTATTACACGTCTCAGTTTCTACTTATATTACAGTGTTCAATTATATTTCTATTATTTCATTCATCAGGGATTAACATTTCTTCACTTTATTATTATTTCCAGTTACTGGTCGTTATTGATATTATTATTTTTCATACTATCACTTATTTTATACTTGACATGTCGTTCAACAATGCACCTAATTACCTTTTCTACGAAATATACATTCGCAAACGGATGCGGTTGTTTCAATATAAATCTACCGTGGGTACGGAAAATTCTTCTGGGCTCTCGAAAAAGAGGTGAACGAAATCGAATGAACGTTTTTCAAATACTAGTTAACTGTTGTTAACTGGCTATAGGTTAACTATATAGATTACCATCTCATTACCCTCTCTTATTTCAAAATTCATTACCCCTTAAGCTTCGAAAGTTTTACACGTCTCAGTTTCTACTTATATTACAGTGTTCAATTATATTTCTATTATTTCATTCATCAGGGATTAACATTTCTTCACTTTATTATTATTTCCAGTTACTGGTCGTTATTGATATTATTATTTTTCATACTATCACTTATTTTATACTTGACATGTCCATCAACAATGCACCTAATTACCTTTTCTACGAAATATACATTCGCAAACGGATGCGGTTGTTTCAATATAACTCTACCGTGGGTACGGAAAATTCTTCTGAGGTCTCGAAAGAGAGGTGAACGAAATCGAATGAACGTTTCTCAAATATAGGTTAACTGTTGTTATATAAGGTATGCTTCAATCTTTACCATGAGCATCGTCGAGTTCGTAACAGTTACGTTTAACCGGGTCACCGAACGTGCCTTTATTTCTTTCCTTTCTCTTTTATCTCTCTCCTCTTTTTCTGCCTAATCAAATAATTCATGTTATAGGAGACGTTCTTCCACGTATAGAAAGCACCTTGCGCACCCAGAAGACACTCAAGGTGAACCGCCCAACTATTTCGGTTTCTCAATTTCTTCACCTTTCAACGAAAAGGTGAGTTCCACCGCCCAATATCGCTTACGCTATATTTCGTATGACTAAGATGTGTAACATGGATTATGTAACGATTTTGTAATTTCTCCCATATCCTCATAAATGAATATTGAAACTCGGTGTTGCACCAGAGAATACGGCAAATTAACCTGAGGAACTATTGTTAAAATAACCCTAGTAGCACAGAATAATTTATAAATATTTCTTTGTAATCATTGTTAAACATCTCGAGCGACAGATTCTTTATGATTTCGTGTAGATTTTATTCGAAGATATCTGAAATATTTGTTGAAAATCTCAATGACATGTTTAGTTTCAATAATTTATGAACATATAATAAAAGTGCATTTTTTACTTTATGATTATTATCGAACACTTCATTTTGTACCAAAAGACACGACCAATTTTTATAATATTTTCGTTCCGGTATTTCATTGTGGTAGCAAAACGTGTGATTTTAAATATTCTTAAAACGTTTATAATGTATTCGGCAGATAATATGTAAAAAATACTTATATTAGAATGAAACGAAATGTTTAGCATATCTGGTGGAAAAATATTATGAAAACACATGGAGCTAATATTATACAAATATTATAGAGATAATATTGTAAAGTAAATGTTTTGCTAATATTTTAAATGTCTGGTAAATATTTACAAAATGTACGATATTCGTTAAATATATAGAACATATAGGATAAATATTTTGTGCTGCTAGGGAAGATTTATGCAACCTAATTTCTTTGGAGTTCTGGAAAATTACTCGTGCAATTCAATTTTTAAATATTGGCAATTAATTTCAATTACCTACTATTAAATCATGGCAAATTTGATACAGCCAGTGGTAAGGATATTAAATATAAGATTTACGTTTTATTATAAAGAATTTCAGTCGTACGGTTAGCATTAATTTTGATACAACGTGATTGGCTGAAGGATTTACTTTATTTTCTAAAATGTTTGGAATGTTCATGTCTTCTGAGAAAAGATACATGAATTTTCATAATGTCAAGGATACCTTACAAATTGCAGCGATAGAATTTGTAAAATAATCTAAAATAATACAAGAATAAGTCTAAATTTGTTAGTAAAAGTAATATTTTTAAGAAAGAATAGTATTAAGGTCGTGCTGAAATATCTTTGCGGATGCAGCTGGGACCTTATTTCTTGGACGTTTATTTCCTTCTGCGCAACGCCGTTGCGCAGTGTTATTTACGTGCAAAACTGACGCAATTCGAGGTGTCGTTTATTTGTTTTCATTTAGCGTCCGTTAGCCCGAAGCGTTGAAAGTAGGTACGGTTAATTAATTTATTTTCTATATTTCTCATCTGAAGGAATATCTCATATGAAGGTTTATCAAGAAGAGTAATATCATGAAGGAGTATACGGTGCACCTAGTTATTACGATTCTAAAAAAAAAGTGTAATAGTTAAGTTAAGGAAAAGTAGGGCAAATTGTAATACCGCAAAAAGACGAAATCAACATTAATATATAGTATGTTATGAATAAAGAAATGAAACATCTTATATTATTTACATAACCAGAAAGAAAAAAAGCTCCAAAGTTTATAATTATTTTCTTGATTTTAAAAGGATAATAAAAAAATGTAGTTCCAAAACGACGGAGATTTAGGTACGTCTTATGTCTGCGCTGTCTAAAAATGTTTTAAAAACGGATGTATGGTTTGTTGCTTCGAATGTTGTTGACTTCTAAATTAAAATTTGACAATGTTTCAAACGGTGATTATTTCCACGATTAGTAGCACCGGTGAATTTAGTAAGGAATAAGAGCTCCTAATCCTTTCACTAGTAAAAAAAAAAAACACGGGATACTATTAAATACAAAATTTGATAAAAATATCAGTAAATTTGGTTTATTCGAATCAGAAATAAAAATGAGAAATATTTGAAAAGAAATTTCTTGCACTTGGTGGTCGATAAAATTCATATTTCCAGTTACTGGTCATTATTGATATTATTATTTTTCATACTATCACTTATTTTATACTTGACATGTCNAATATCAGTACATTTGCTTTATTCGAATCAGAAGTCAAAATGAGAAGTATTTGGAAGGAAATTTCTTGCACTTGGTGGTCGATAAAATTCATAAACAATAGGATAGATTATTAAACCAGAAACGGTTCGTGAATTCATTACATTTACTGTACTATACTTACTATACTAATCAATACAAAATCTGATAAAAATATCAGTAAATTTGGTTTATTCGAATCAGAAGTAAAAATGAGAAGTATTTGAAAAGAAATTTCTTGCACTTGGTGGTCGATAAAATTCATAAACAATAGAATAGATTATTAAACCAGAAACGGTTCGTGAATTTATTACATTTATTGTACTATACTTACTAAACTATTAAATACAAAATCTGATAAAAATATCAGTACATTTGCTTTATTCGAATCAGAAGTCAAAATGAGAAGTATTTGGAAGGAAATTTCTTGCACTTGGTGGTCGATAAAATTCATAAACAATAGAATATTTATGATTAATTAAACCAGAAACGGTTCGTGAATTCAAAGACCCTTTAGATCTTTCGCCGACGAGAATGAAAACCGGAACCTTGAAGCGACCGAGCCAAGTACTCGACATTTTCCTTTCCTCCTTGCTCCTTTTTATCATTCCGGTCGTCGGTTCAGTGATTCCTGAACGTAATGTTCAGTTCACTGTCGCGATCCGGAAGACCCTCAGTTCCAGGTGTTTTCTTTGCAGCCTCTGGAATGAGTTTCACAGTGAACGATAAATCTTGTCCGTTTTGATGTTCCGATAAACTCTGCCAAACAATGACAATGGAAAGCTGGACTTACAGTAGATGTTGAATTACTGGGCACGTACTTTACGATTTTGAAGACCTTTATCACAACACCGATATGGCACTCGGTGTTTTGATATGACCGGATTAAGTCCTCGGCATGTTCCATTACTGTTTTTGTTTTTTCCATCACCCCGACCAGTGGTTCAGTGATCCCTTAATATAATGTTCAGTTCGTTGTCGTGATCCACAAGATCCAGACTTCCAGGAGATTGTTCTTCAACATCCTGAACCGAGTGTCACAGTGAGTGTTAAATTTTGTCTTTTAAGTAGGTTCCGTTTAAGCAAATACGAGCATCTTAAGTGAAAAATCGATTGCAGAATAGATGTGAGATTTCTTTACGTTATGATCATTTTAGATAGCTGAAGTAAAGTATGATTTTACATTACTGTAAATATTAACTCCTCAAACGACACCTTAGGTATAAAAAAAAAACTTCGCCAATTACATTCTTGTTTCTTTCTTTAATTGCAAAAATAATTCAAACCGTTTTTTTATTTTAATAAAAAATGAGAATCAACTATTTTTGCCAAAGATGTTAGTACTTTCATTTTATTAAATACTCGGATCAGATATTATTGCCAAATTGTACATTTTGTTCCACTAATATAAGTACATCTATTCTAAAAATGAGATTATCACTTCAAATCATGTGTCTATTAACATCTACAGGTTTCTATTTTGTCGTTGCATGTCATCGTCGTAGAATGTCGTACGAAAAGTCGTATGAAGATTTATTTACCTATCATGTGAGTGCGAAAATGGTAATCCGTGACTGGAGGGATGACGATGACGATATGAGAACAACGTTTCTGAAAATGCCGAAAACTTTACCGTGCCATATCTTTACGTAGATAGCAGCAATCAGAGTCGGATAAGTGAAAAAAATCCCTGATTTTTTGCTCGATTTTTTGAGTTGATCGAAAGTTTATTTCTTCATCCGGGTTTGCGCGCAAGCGCGTTTCTCTCAACACTCAAAGCTACGAGTTTCTCACTAAAAAATGTATTTGGTTCGAAACTCTACCGAGAGTACCTGAGTAGAAGACTTTGGGTCCTAGAAAAGAACTTTGCTGCAAATGGAGTTGCATAAAAGTATCCTACACCGTTACGCACGAAAGTGGACGAAACTACCTGACCGGTTACGCAATAATTTATGTATTACCGGAGACGTTATTGCATCATAATTTATGTACTATACGCGAGAAAAAGTATGGGTACTAGAAAAGATCTACGATCCAAAATAGTAGGTTACGTTCAAAAATTTCTCAACAAAACGACAAGGACTGATTTCAAAAATTCGGCTCTCTTTAAGGTGATGTAAAAGTGGCGTCGAAGAGGTTTTGTTTATAAAACTTTTTTCCCAACTCGGTTTACCAAATAGTTTGAAACTTTACAACGTGCAAAGGAAGACTATAAGGAAGGTCCTGAAACTCATGAAATTTCAATTCTTTTCAAATCAGTTTATAGGTATTTTAAAAATAGTTTATAAAAAATGAAATTTCGCGAGTTTCAGGACCTACCTTAGGGTCTCCATATTCACGTTTTAAAGTATGAAACGATTTGAGACACCCAGTTCGTAGAAAAGTTTTATGAACGATTGAGCTTTCGGATGCCACTTTCACATCCCCTTAAGGTGATGTGAAAGTGGCGTCGAAGAGGTTTTGTTTATAAAACTTTTCTCCCAACTCGGTTTACCGAATAGTTTGAAACTTTACAACGTGAATAGGGAGACTATAAGGAAGGTCCTGAAACTCATGAAATTTCAATTCTTTTCAAATTTGTTTATAGGTATTTTAAAAATAGTTTGTAAAAAATAAAATTTCGGGAGTTTGAGGACCTACCTTAGGGTCTCCATATCCACGTTTTAAAGTATGAAACGATTTGAGACACCCAGTTCGTAAAAAAGTTTTATGAACGACTGAGCTTTCGGATGCCACTTTCACATCCCCTTAAATAAGTGCTACAATGTACGCAAGAGTACGAAAACCTACAAATGATATACCAATAAATAACAACAATGTCATTAAATTATGAAATAATAAAGAAAATAAATACAGCCAGGAAAAAAAGGGAGTGACCGATACCTTCTGTTTTAATATGTAACGAAATCAAAACTCAGCTTAACAAATTTTCAATTTTTTCATGAAAGAACAAATTTCTATTGAAGTTATTATAAATTAGATGTATGTATATATTTATTTATTTATAAAGTTTATATAATCTGTAGAGGTATGCTGACCACATGCTACATGCAAGGCACAAACTTTTCCGATACACGTTATAAATTAACAGTTTTTTGACGTATTACGTGCCGACCGGTATATAAAAACCATATAATTTCGCTCTGGGTAACTTGTAATTATAACCGTTTAACACTCCACTTGAGACGATGCAGTACCGACGTTATAACTATTGATCATGCAGGTATTAAAATTGAAGCGTTGAAAATACTTGAGTTTATTTAAATTTTTCCAGTGATTTAACACGCGACGGGCGGATGTTGAGTGAAATGGGAATTTCTAACGATTATAGACTCGCAAGTTAATTACGACCTTCTGTCCCTTTGGCCGCAAAATAATTATCCGTAATTACGATTAGAAAGTGTCGAACCCATCGAGAACGATCTTTTCGTTGGTTTGGCGCTATTTCTCAACGGAAAAAAAAATATATATAAATTGTCATTGCTAAATACCGTAGCAATGTCATGATGGTCAATAAACCTCGACTGGATTTTCCGATTAATTTTTTAGGGAAGATAAAGTTATTTAAATATTAAATCTATCGAAACAAGGTAGGGAGATATCATACCAAAGTTTATATGACGTTAACATATATGTAATGTTTTATATTATTTTCTGGACATTTTGCCGGAAAATAATTATCCGTAATTACGATTAGAAAGTGCCGAACCCATCGAGTACAATGTTTTCGTTGGTTTGGCACTACTTCTCAGCGAAAAAAAAAATATAAATTGTCATTGCTAAATACCGTAGCATTGTCATGATGGTCAATAAACCTCGACTGGATTTTTCGATTAATTTTTTAGGGCAGATAAAGTTATTTAAGTATTAAATCTTTCGCAACAAGGTAGGGAGATATCATACCAAAGTTTATATGACGTTAACATATATGTAATGTTTTATATTATTTTCTGGACATTTTGCCGGAAAATAATTATCCGTAATTACGATTAGAAAGTGCCGAACCCATCAAGAACAATCTTTTCGTTGGTTTGGCACTACTTCTCAACGAAAAAAAAAATATAAATTGTCATTGCTAAATACCGTAGCATTGTCATGATGAAGTCAATAAACCGCGACTGGATTTTTCGATTAATTTTTTAGGGAAGATAAAATTATTTAAATATTAAATCTTTCTTATTTAAATATTAAATCTTAAAACAAGGTAGGGAGATATCATACCAAATCTTATATGACGTTAACATATATGTAATGTTTTACGTTATTTTCTGGACATTCGTAATTGATTCATAGAAATGGTCACTTAATTTTCAAGAACGTGGAAAACAATGTTAGCACGTAGATATAGATGTAGTAAAACTGCAAGCTTATGATATCGTTACGGTATAAAATCATTCAATAAAATACAGTACCTGGCAAAAACCTATGGCATGAAAATTATTGACACCGGATACCACTAAAGTATGAAACGTTCTAATCCCGGCTAGTCGTTGAAAACGGTTTCCGAAAAATAAAAGTAAGTAGGAAATTTCTTAGATTTTAATGCTTTCTTAAGTCCGCTTCCGCGTATAAGAGATTGCACATTCTGCGAGCCATAACTTTTTTCCCCGGCAGGATAACACGTCCGTACAAAAGAACTTTTGTCGAGGCAGTTTTGCCTCGTAAAACGGTCTTCTTAAAAGTGCCGAGTGGTTAATACACCACTCGACTTATTGCTCGAAACTAAAATAACAGCTTCCACCATCATGGCGTGTGTTGAAAAGAAAAATTGTTATAAAATTCTCCTTCAGGAAATGAATGGCCGAAGTAATGATAACCAGTAAATGTAAAAGTTGCAGCAGCTTTATGGCAGTTTTCTAAACGAAAAAGCTGCTTCGCTACATATCCCACTACCGTTGTAGTAACCATGTTTCTTTCGCATCATGCCTAAGACCTCTGTGCCGCCATATTGCCAACGCAGCGTAATTACTATCACGTTAACCTCCGTTTATGTAACAATAAGTGAAGCATGTGTCCATTAATGTGAATGTAAATACCTGAGAACGCTTGAATTTTCTCATAATTCATCTTCCAACGCGGCTGAGATCAAAGAAGACTATTTGGATTAAAAATGCCTAGAAAGAAAACTGTAGGTCTATGTGACACGTACTTATTTAAATGACAAGTAGTACATTTATGAATTATTTTCCGTGTTTATTTGACATCTTTATTTAAAATTACTCCCGAGTGAGAACCTCTGCAGTTGAAACTGCAGCCGCACCTTACGCTTCGTAATAATGAGCGTGGTTACGAGGAACGCACAAATGAATGTACATGCAGGTTTTACGTACGTGTGTACGCATGAGCGCACGACTCTGTACAAGTGATTATGCTTATTTGCCAACATTTTTGTTTTCCGATGGTGAGACTCGACTCGGAACAATTGTAACGTGAGTTTCCCGAGCGGAACAACGGTCGTGTAACAAGTATCATTTACCGGTCATTGTGCAGGGTGGTATGTGCTTATTGTCTTGAATATTATCGAATGCTCTCTGTAACATAAGTACAGAGAGCATTCGCAGTTCCTTAAAATAATATGAAAATGCAGTGCCTTAATATCGGCTCGAACATTTGGAACACACCCCGGGCGTGACGAAAATCGACAGGTACGAAGTACCAATCTTTCGCAATTTAAAATAAATGTATTGACAAAACGCAGTTCCTTAAAATAATATGAAAATGCAGTGCCTTAATATCGGCTCGAACAACTGAAACAAAACTCGGGTGTGACAAAAATCGACAGGTACAATGGTGGACATGAATGCCTCCCCTGTAGATACGGCATCGCCTGTGCAGGATGGGAGGGCATTGATGTCTCCCAGTGTATATTGTGGACATGAATGCCTCCCCTGCAGGTACGACATCGCCTGTGCAGGATGGGAGGGCATTGATGTCTCCCAGTGTACGAAGGACCGATCTTTCGCAATTTAAAATAAATGAATTGACAATACACAGTTCTTTCAAATAATATGAAAATGCAGTGCCTTAACATTGGCTCGAACA